CCAACCCGTTTGCGCTCCCGGCACTAAATTTGCAAAAAATGTAAGATCCCAACCCGAGTGCGGAGGGGGCTGCCCTGTGTTCGTAGTGAGCCTGAGAAGGAGACCACAGTCAAATAGCAGCAAGGCTTCAGTTGGAAGTCCAAAGCCACAGGATTCAGGGACAGAGAGAGAGAGAGAGGGAAACCCTACCTTTCCGATCCAGGACTGGGTCTGCAGACTCCAGCAGCTGATGGAGAAGCGTCAGGGTCGTCTGCAAAATTTTGTCAATGTTCTCCAGGAATTTGGGATCCTTGTTCAGGTTGTCCACTTCGTTTTTCACGGTCGAATCCTCCACGGAGAAATGGCGCGCGCGGGCGTCGTAGTGGGTGAGCGTTTGCCTGTTGTACGCCACACTCAAGGTACATCCAGACAGATCCTCTCGAGCTACTGCCTCATGGTCGCAGTCCAGCAGCTGTTGTAATGCATCTGGAGGGCGAGAAAGGGACAGTGCGGAGAGAAACGCGCTGAGGGAGAGCCGAGAGCTGGTGGGGAGCTGGGCGGGCATGCAATGCAGGCTTGGCAGATTCATAGACACCCCTGGACGGTGACCCTTCAGCCCATCATGGCTGGACTACTCATCGGGCACCAATCCATTCAGTTCTAATGAACAGTCACAAAATATGGTCCCTCACTCGAAACCTGAGCTCTATGTTTCTCTCTTTCTTTCTCCTTCCCTCTCTGTTTCTTTCTCTGTTTCTCTCTCTCTCTCTCTTTCTCTCTCCCCAGCTACCTTTCTGTACTTTTTTCTCTCCCTCCCTCTCTCAGTCTCTCTCTTCCTCCCTCTCTCTCTCTTTCACTGTCTCTCTCTCTCCCTCTCTTCCTCTCTGTTTTTTTCTCTCTCCCTCTCTCTATCTCTAAACCCCCCTCCCTCTCCCCAGCTCCCTCTCTCTTTCTCTCTCTCTCTCTCACACTCTCCGCAGACACACCCAGACCTGCTGAGTTTCTCCAGCAATTTCTGGTTGATTTCAGATTGTCTGAAATACCCTGAGATGTTTCCTGGGCTGGAATATCTCAGCGATGCATAGACATTGGATCATCCCGGACTGTTTTTACAGGGAGACCCTGGAGGGTGGGGGTAGGGTGTCAGTATTTACAGGGGGTCACTCACACACAGACATACACTCACACGCACATGCACTCACACACTCACAGACACAGACATACACACTCACACACACACACTCACACAGACACAGAGACACACACAGACACAGACATACACACACACATACACAGATATACACACACAGACACACACACAGACACAGATATACACACACACGCACACACATACACACACACACATACACACACAAACAGACACACACACACACAGACATATACACACACACACAGACATACACACATACACACACACACACACACACACACACACACACACACACACACACACA